TTGGACAAAATATTGTAAAGGTCATGTTATTTGTAATACCTCAAGAGGTATAAATAGGCTTGGTTTTAGACCAAGTAAGAATAATAATGTTCATGATACAATAATAATAATAATATAATAACCTTGTAACAGAAATATTATTGCTAATAAAGACACATAACACTTTTACAATAAATCAAACTTCTAATAAAACCTTGATAAATCTTTGCTGAAAAGCATACTCACCTTAAATTAAGACCATACTAACTAAGGGATGCCTTAGTAAGACAGTGGAGTATTTATTTATTATTTTTTAGGCTTTGCCAGCAGTACTTCCATTAGTACTGTAGAGAGAGAGATTGCGCAAAAGAGAGAGATTTGAGTAGGCTCTGAGCTTCGTGTGGATACAGAGGCCTGGTATAGAGTATTGAGAACCCTGAGCTGTGTGTGGATACAGGGAGATTAATATATTGGACTTTTATTTATTTTATTTTATTTTATATATTTTATTGGACACCTCACGAGCTGTATTTGAATTTACACGCTCGCAATATCAAGTGCTGACTGTATATGGGACATATAAATTGGGCTTAATTCTCAGTCAGTTATAGAGCAAGGTCCTCTGTTATTATTATTACCATCATCATCATCATTATTATCATCATAGAAAGATATGTTATAGAGAGTAGTTACTATTTTTTATCAGGTTATGCTGTTCATTTATTTGGAGTTTGTAAAACTGAAGGAGGAATAAATAAACAATTGAATTTTTTAATAGGAGAAGATGAGCTTCCTCAAGGCACATCTAAAGGAGCAAATACTACTTTGAATTTAGTTTATCAAGCTCTGCAAATATTTGCAAAGAATGGTAAAAAAAAATTGCATATAACTTGTGATAATTGCTCTGGACAAAATAAAAATAACTTATCTCTTTGGTTTTGGACTTGGATAATAATGCTGGGTTGGTATGAAAAAATTACAGTTAGCTTTATGATTCCAGGACATACAAAATTTATATATGATTCTTTTTTTGGTCATATAAAAAAATTATATAGAAAAAGTAAGATTAATCAGATTAATGATATTGAAGAGATTGTTAAAGATTCTTCAGAAGGAAATGAATCAATACAATATAAAGATGGTTTAGGGTGGAAATGGTACAATTTTGGAGAATTATTTGAAAAAATTTAAAACTTTACCTAATATAAAGCAATATCATCATTTTAGATTTAACAACCTGCCTGAAAACAAAGGAAAAGTTTTTGTTTCAATGAAATCTGGTGAAGAAGAGTCTTTTAATCTTTTAAAAAATAATAACTTTAATCATAATGATCCCATTAATATCATTCCAATTAATATAGATTTAGAAAAAAAATTATATTTATATAAAAAAATTAGAAAATTTGTAGAGGAACCTCATAAAGATGTTCATTTTTCAAATCCTAATTCAAATGAAATGGAAATTTAAAAAAAAAATTTTGTAAGATTATCATTTCCTTTTTTGTCATTATAAATTTTTTGGGGCCAAAATTCAATAAATCTTTGTGAGCTAATTGTACACTTTTCTATTAATTGAATGTTGACAAAAATTATACCAAATTATAATCATCACTTCAAAGAATATAATGGTGTCAATAACTCATTTTGGGGTTTTTGAGCCCGAAGCACCTTTTTGCTAGGATGGAACCCATATAGTTTAAGAGTTATTTTGAGTTTTGTAATTTTGCGAAATTTGCCAATTTGTATAATAAATTTAAAAATTTTTTTTGTGGCACCAAAAAATAATAACAGTCACCCATGATGTCACACGATCAATATAGTGACTGCAATAACTATGTAAGATTTATGTGTAACATTTCGATTTTTACTATTAAA